ACCAAGGCACACATTTCACTTCTCAAAATATACAGTGTTAGGCTCTTGGAAAAGATTTTCAATAGAAATTTCATGTCCCTGAGGTGTCCCAACCGCTTTAATTAGAGACATTAATAGTCTCCTCAAACAACTCCTTTTCAAATTCCAGTCCAGTAAATGGGTCTCTGTCTTGCTCCAAACCTTAATTTCTCTTAATCTATTGCCTCCTGACCAACTCACACCTTACACTAAATTAAAAAAAAAAAAGCTAAACTTTTTCCATCGCCTTTTCTTATCTTTAAAGGTGGATATATCTCTCTTCCATGTATATAAGGACTCATTATATGAGGCCTTTTAATTATGTCTCTCATCTGTATAAATTTTTAATCTTTTCTCCATTCCATAAGGGCTGCAGGTCAGGGACATCTACATTCCTTAGACTCATTCACCATAGAATGTCCCATGGGCCAGGTAGCTGCTCCTCTGATATGGGTCCATTTGAGCCTAAAAATTCCACCACCCCCCAAAACAAAAACAAAAACAAACAAAAACAAAAACACCTATTATGTGCAACTGTACATGATGCCATTGGCTATTTATCTCATTACAGTTGGTCTGGCTGCTTTCATTGGTTTGCAGTGTGGAGTCCCAAACCCTCCAAGTAAGCCATTGTTTCAACCAGACATGACAAGTGCTGAATGAAGCCCACATGTGATCAAGTTTGACTAGTACAAGCCCCCCCCACCCTCACTGGCTTGCTCATCTACAACCATACCAAAAACTGAGGTAAAGGGCTTATAGTTATTTGCCAATTCAAAGGCCTACCTACAGGCTAATGTTAAACTTCCAACCTTAGCTACATTTTAATTGGCAAACAATCTTACACCTTATTAACAACATGCACCCAAATTAGGCCATATATATTTTTCAGGTATAACTGACATATAGCATTATATCAGTTTTAGTTGTACAACATAATGATTCAATATTTGTATATATTGAAAAATGGTCACCACAATGTCTAGTTAATTATCTATCACACACATAGAATTTTTTTTCTTATGATAAGAACTTTGAAGATTTGCTTTCAATAACGTTCAAATATACAGTGCAGTATTATTAACTAGTAACCAGGCTGTACCTTATGTACCCAGGGCTTACTTATTTTACAAATGGAAGTTTGTAACTTTTGACCACCTTTACCCATTTGCCCACTTCCCACCCCACCCATATTAGATTCCACATACAAATGATGGTATTTGTATTCCTGTGGTATTTGTCTTTCTCTGTCTGACTTATTTCATTTAGCACAATGCCCTCAAGGTCCATGCATGTTGTCTCAAATGGCAAGATTTTCTTCTTTTTCATGGGTGAATAATATCCCATTGTCTATATATGCCAGAACTTCTTTACCCATTCATTCATTGATAGACACTTAGGTCACTTCCATGATTTGGTTATTGTAAATAATGCTGCAATGTACATGGGAGTGCACATAGCTTTCTAAGTCAAGTATTTTGTTTACTTCAAATAAATACCCAAAGCTGGAATTGCTGGATCATATGGTAGTTTTATTTTTAATTTTCTGAGGAACCTCATGTTTTCCATGATGGCTGCAGCAATTTACATTTCCACCAACACTGCATAAATAATTCTTGACATTCTTACCAACATTAGTTATTTCTTTTCTTTTTTGATAATAACCATTCTAACAGCGTGAGGTGATATATCATTGTGGTTTTGATTTGCATTTACCTGGTAATTAGTGATGTTGTGTACCTTTTCATGTATCTGTCAGCCATCTCTATGTCTTCTTTGGAAAAATGTCTATTCAGACCCTCTGCCTATTTTCTAATTAGATTGTTATTGAGTTGTATGAGTTCTTTATATAGTTTGGATATTAATCCTTTGTCAGGTTATGATTTGCAAATATTTTCATTTGGTATTGCCTTGTCTTTTTCTTTTTCTTTTTCCTTTTACTGCCTTTTTTTTTTTTTTTTTTTTTTTTTTTTT